CTCTCCCTCTCCCTCTCCCTCTCCCTCTCCCTCTTTCTGTATTCCTCAGATTTTTTTCTTTCTCAGTTTTCCCTCTCAGGTTTTTCTTTTTTTTTTTCTATCTGAGTTTACCTCAGTCTTTTATTCATTACACATTTCCTTGTTACACAGTAATACATAACCAAAAGCCTTTTCATGATTTCCTCAAGCCCATTTTTTTTTCCTGAAAAACCTCATGTAACTTATATCACCAGAAAGCACAATGCACACACAATTCAGTGTCTGCAAAAGCAAGTTATACATAAACTCCTTAACTCCCTGAAAAGTCTCCAAATCACAAGGTATGTGGGCATAAATGTGTGGTTACAGCATTAGCCTGAGAACAGAAAGATGCTAAACAGGTCAGAGTAATGTTAATGTTTTTAACGTGTCTAAATTTGCAGAATCTTTTTATTAAGCTCATCCAAGTATCTATTTGTACAATGCTTTTCAAGCTTATTTCTATATGAAATATTCATTTCTCTTGCATCTTCCCCCAGCGCTCCTTCACAAGCCTGAGCTCTGTCTCTTAGAACTTGTACCCTAGTTTCCTTAGGCAGGCAATGCCAGGGGTTCAAATCAGTAATGTTCCATTCTTTCCAGGAAGGTCAGTTCACGAATCCAATAGCCTCCTCATGGGGTCCAGACTCTTCTACCCAAATGTTTGTCTTTTTTATTATACATATATCTTCCTGTGAGATCTCCCTTGTGGGGCTGCTCACCATTGCTCACTAATCCAGCAGACCCAGCTCTTTCTTCCTGTCTTGTTTCTTGTATTTTATGGACATCACTGTCCTTAGTGACCCGGGCCCACTCTTCCTTTTCCTTGGAGATCTTCAATTTTCTTAACCACTAAAACTTCAGGTTTCTCAAAAACGTTTCCTGGTTCAAATATTTCCTGGTACAACTTAATCATCATGAATTGGCTAAGATTTCCCAGAGAACAATTAGGGCAGTCATCCTCCACATCCAGAACCTCTTGTCCTGTTATGCCTGAGTTGATTGCTTGAATGGCCAGGGCCAGGGCACTTTTTTGCTGTAGACATCAGAGCCATTTCCTTCTCTAGGAATACCCTCAATCCCTTTCTCAGATTTTTATTTTTATTTTTTTTTACCAGAGTTGTATTTGAGGACAAATATAGTATAGAAAAGGCAAACCAGACAGGCATACAAGAAAGAACAACACCATCTGTATAGAGAGCCAGAGATGTGTTACTCAGGTTGACCGTGCTCCTGCAGCTGAAATCGTGTCATGCAGCCACATTTGCAGCCGTGTCACACCTGACATCTTACCTACTATGAGAGTTGGGTAAGCAGGCATGTAATATGTTTTTA